AACATGCAAAGGGGTAGTTCTCTTTTTAGAGAGTGACTGAAGAAAGCTTTGTTTGGCCAAGGAAAGGGGCTCTTAGGTCACAAAGTAGAGATCCCACAGACTGCTACGAAAAGGGTGTAGCACTGGGAATAACAGAAACCATGATTCTCAAATCTGCAGGCCTCCTGTGTGCCTTAAATAGGAGGCTACATAGGTGAACTGTTGGAGCAAAGTCTGTTACATGAACATTCCAAAAGAATTAATCAGCACAAAGTTAAAAACTGAAGCATAATTTAATTCTAACAAAATAAAAGATGCCTGCACTAGCACGCTAGCATAGAGAATGCAATGTCAATGGTTCCATAATTTTATTCCTGGATTTTGTCACTATAGATCTATTTTCAGCAATGAAAATTATATTTTAGCCCTATTTCTAGCCCCAGTGATTTGTGACATATGTCTTACTTACACTTAAGACATTCATTACCATGTGAGAATTTCCCAACATAAAGGTCAGAATGATGTTTTCGTTCACCTGCAAACCTAAGGAAAATGGAAGTATTCTTTTTCTTTCTTCCTTTTTTCCCTCTCTCTCATCCTAGGGGCCCTGAATCTCAATGACAAACAAAAGCAACTGAAAAGTAGATGACAGAGAAGGCTTTAAATTATTTGGTCTCTTCTATTAGTCACGCTATTTCTGGAGAGTCAGAAATGCTCTTTTTTTAGTATTAAAAAGCATACCTATTAATCAGCCAAAGTTGTAGCAGTCAGAAAGTACTACAACTCAGAGACTGTAAAATATTATATCGAAAGCATGTTAGTCAAATAGAATTTTCATCGGCTAGTTGCTTTGCCCAAAATAAATATGTTGTTCAATAGACCACTAGAGGAAATCATTTTCTAAGCACAAGTGATGATGCAGCATGGCTCTGTGAAAGCCCTTTACTCTCTTACTGCAGTACTGTATCTGCAGGCTCCACCAACACAAACATGAAAATCAATGTAACAATTCAGTGTACAAGGCAAGGCCTACAGTGCTGCTAATGTCCCCTTGCTGGACACACACCTTAAGTCTCAGGGCTCTCAAGGGGTTTGCTGTGGAATAAAATTAGATTCCAACATCTGCCACCATTAAGGAAAAAAATTCCATTTCCATCTCCCATATGAAAACACTATAACCAATGAACAGTAACTGAACCTTGATACCGTAATGGTTATTACCCAAATCAACTATTTTTTTTAAACAGTAAAATTAGCAAATTCTGGTCTCCTAATTATTTGAATGTTATCAGACTAAATGTTTGATAAAATTCCAATATGATTCACTTGGAAAAACTGCTGCTTATTTGAATACCCAGAATATAAAGTGTATTCATTTGTAGCTATTCACATTATGTTTAAAGCTTATCATCTTTTTAAAGTTTGCATTAGCCTGCTTTCCTAACCAAGAAGAAAAAGTAGCCCACCTTCAGTTTTTACTTGCATATTTTATTCAGACATTTCTATTAGAGTTAAAAACAATTCCATATCTATTATTCATTGAAGAGACAATACATGTGAAATGGTGGAATCCACATGAGTTGGTTTCTTTTACTGAAAATACTTTGTGCATTAGTCACTGCAGAGCATGCTTTACCTTTTAAAATGGAAGGTATTTATGATACATAAATACATGATAAATAATCTCTCATCCACTTGGAGGACTGAACCTCTTGCTTAGCACATTATAAAATGTTACCATTTGGGTATAGTAGCTATATAATTTAAAAGCTCTTTTGCATACATTGCAGCATGTGACCTTCTATGTTAAGAGAAACCTGGGTTCAAAAGTTAAAATTTCCCAGTATTGTAGCACCAATGACACAGCATGGATCAGAGCTGGTCTCCTTTGACTCCTCCACCGTGTACACCTACCTCCTATGATAAAGTCTGGATTCTGAAAGCTCTGTGTTGGTAAGAACCTTGTGTTCCATGAATGTCAATGAAGAAAGGAAAGCCCTCACTGTTTCTACTATCAGTAAGTCCACTATCCCTAATTCCTCTTCCCCAGAGCAGGGTATTACTTCAGTGGTGACGCTGCCTTGAACCCTGAAGACAGTCTAAAACAGGAGAAATGCGAAGAATTTGGAGTGGGCTCTGCTATATTTATTAGTTAAGAAACTCTCATGTGTAAATGAAGAAAATAATAGCTCACAGGTTACTAAATTAATGTAGATAATCTATAATACATGATAGGGTCTAGCACAAAAAACATAATGGTTAAGTCAACCCAGACAACCAGGGCAAGACACAGAAGCAGATGGAAGTCGATGAGCTGAGACAGAAGTGAGTCTGGTTCTTCCTGCTTCACACACACTTTGTCTTGGGGGCCTAAATCTGACACACATATCTGAGGCCTAAATCTATATACTTTAGAAGTGCAAAAATTTGACCATTTTAAAAGTCAGTCTGATTTGAAGGTTTTTTTTTTGGTTTTACTGTTTCCTTCACAAAACATAGCATGTGAACAGAAGCTAAGCAAATGGCCACTTTTCCCGATTAAGTCAGGTCTCCTTTATTAGTGATTCACACAGGTTTTGGATTGTCTCATTTTTTAAGCAATCAACTATCTTTGTACATATTTTCATGAACAGGGTAGTGCTAACATTAAACTGAACAACTAAGACAAGACTACAAAGATGCCCTATTAGGACCTTAGAGTAAGTCAGAAGTTGAGAACAACTAACCAAGGGAATGAAGTTAATAGTCTGCTTGACTCCTATAGCCCACAGTTGGCTCCTTTAACTTTCTCTCAACCAGTAATGAGGACCTAGCTAAGAGCTTTTGGGGTTTTGGAAAACACACCACCACAGAAGATGCTTGAAGTTGCTTACTGACATTGCTGAAATAGAGACCCATGAGGAGCTGTGTAGGACAGAGTACAAAGGGCAGGGATGTTTAAAATGGCTTAGAACATCACCTACATGACATTATCAGCCGATTCCTGCTACTGTCTAAATAGCTCCAAAATCAGTAACTCAGCCCAGGACTGGGAGAACCTGGGGTACCATTTAAAAGGATGAAGTCAAAGATAGCAAAGGACCTAACAATCACAGGGAACAGAAAGAAAAGTGGTGGCGGGGTGGGGGGTAGATTGAATTGAATGACAGGTGACAGACAACTAAATACGGTTATTAAAAAGTTTTAATTTTAATTTTTGTTTTAATGCTAACGTCTATTATAATAATACATGTCTAGTTTCTCCATTTCGGAGATTTGGGTAAAGTGGGAATGCAGTGTGATTATCATTGATGATTGGACAGGTCAGAACAAAAATGCAGAATCAGAAAGAAAGGCAAGATAATATATATTTAAATATGAGATCCTCATCATAATCAGACTAAATAGCCAAAACAAAGATGTGTGGGGTGGGCAAGTAGGTGGGCGGGAGGGTAAAGTGAGACCAGGACATTTCTCTTTAATGCGTAGTCTTGGCATGTAAATGAAGACATCTGAAGAAGCACACAGGTTTAAAGCGGCTCTAACATTCTATCATAATTAGAAACATTTCAAGAGCCCTGTAATTTCCAATCAAAATTACAGTAATTTCCGATATACAAGCCATGATTCATGACAGAATTTTACATTCCATGAGAGATTACGGTGGCCTGATGTATGACACGCTGAGTACAGCACTAACATAAACAATTCAGTTTAATGTTTAAACAGCACTTGATGTTTAGAATCTCACAATAAAAGAAACATATTATTGTAGAAATTATCACTTTGACAGTGATTGAAGGGTAGGCAGGCATGTGGCCTATAAAGCTATAATTTTTACAGTCCACAGCTTGAGTTTAATCATTTTTATATAACATTTCCAAGATATCCCTTAAGTATTTCATCAAGCCTATAACTTAAACAAGAACAACATTCTTCTAAAGCAAAACTCCTGTCAAGTAACACTATAAATGTCAACAGAGTAAAAGTTTAGGAAAATCTGAAAAGATACTATGTTACAAATATATCAATTATAAATACTCCCATAATTGTATATTTTATCAGAAGTTGACAACAGCCAGGCTGTTTTATAAAAGAGGATTCATTAATTATAATGAAAATATACTTGTGTAACATTTCAAGTTGTTTAAATCTTACCTGGAGCCCCTATTTGCCTCTAAATCTCACCTTGATAGTGTTATCAAATCCTTTTTCAAAGGGGAAGAGAGTTTAGTGTTCTTCTGGTCCTTTAAGGAGTATCTTTGGCTTTGGAGAAGGGTTTATAGGTAACTGTAAGTATGTTCATGTAGATGATTCTACTTTTGATGAACGCAAATTATTAATATATGACAATTATGCTCATAAAAGACTATACTGTTTATCCTTCTGTTATTTAATTTGGTAGAAATTTACAACTTTTCCAATTCAAGTCTATTCAACTGTAATTCATCAGAGTTGGACAACTTGTAATTGTAATCAATCTGTGTGTCATGTAGACATCTATAGAAAGTTAAAATCATTAATATGCAAAGGTGTGTGTGTGTGTGCCAGTTTGTATTAATAAGTGCACCTAATAGGTGCAGACAGCTGAACTGAGCGCTCACCACTATACCACCAATGCCACACTAGATGGCTGAACTGGAACAGAAGAAACTGTGTAAAGTTCTGCAGTATTTTCGTAGGAAAAAAAGTCAAGATCTACTAAGCAATAATGAAATAATAGTGATTCCGATGATTCAGTCCACAACAACACACCAAACTGAGAAACTTACTAGGCATTATGGTATCTTTCTCAAAATAACTCTTAACTGACTTGGGGATTTACTATAAAATCCTTGGTCTGGGAAGTGGCTATTAGAAAAAACAAAACCAAGTGCCTATAACCTGAATTTGAATATATTTCATTTTAGAGCTCCGGAAATAATCCTAAACACAGAGGCCTCTCCGTGATGCAAATGCATACTGAAAATACACATTCCTTTTAATGAAAATTCCACAGGCAACACAGATAAACATTCTCAATGCCTAACAGAGGCTCTTACCTGGCTTTTGGTTGCTGCAACCTTTGCAAACAGTGCTTGAGACACTTTAGCGCGCTTCATTTCCTGCTGAATCTCATCATAAATGGAAGCATTAATGTTCATGGTATTGTTCTCTGGTTTCCCATTCCTCTCAGTGGCAATAGTAGCTGTTTTCACCTACAAAACATTTTGAACATGGCTGTCATTTTTCATTGGCTAAATTGTTTTGAAGTTTCTCAGGCTCAGCATCCAAACTGGACACTGTTGCTCCTTTTATGATCAAGGTGATCAACAGTGCAGTCATTCAACAATAGTTATTGCCCTGAGATCAGATTGCTTAAGTTAAGGAAGTCATATTGTCACAGGTGATTGCATCCGTAATATGACAGCAACTGCCAGCTGACAACTAGGAATTATAATGCCATAAAGTAAGTTTTCTGGAAAACGAAATAGTTTCAAAGACTTGAAAACCCTAAACTAATTGTGTCCAATTACCTTCCGTTGCAATCCTAACAAAGGAAATTCACAATTAAAATCATAATGCACAGTGCTGTATCTTCACTGGTTGCCCAGTGCCTAATAGACAATTGTATCACTAATAGCAATTACATAGTATGGCCTTTTTAATTTTAGGCTATTTTTATGCATCTTCCTCTTATGTTTCATTTTAAAAATCTTCCATAACAAAGCCATTTGCAGAACTGCATATTTAAATCTTCTATCCATCCATGAAGCAGGTAGAGTGCCTTGCTTAATTATCGTAAAGGCTGGTTGCATTTTACACGTGCATGTCCAAGCTGTTCTGTATAATTATTTCATCTTTTCCTGCCACCCCTGTATATAACTATTTCCTTTTGACTTGTGAAACCAGACAGTAAGATAATGTTTCACAACATTTAACAAAATATTCCTGTGTCATAAAATATATAATCAGTGACCTTACTAATATATTCAAAAAGTACAATCTTGAGTGAAAAATCAGTATCAATGCCTTTGGTAATAGTGATAAGCAGATATCTGCAGGAAAATGCCACAAAATTTTAGGGGAAGAAATCAAATCTCAACTTCAAAATTTACTTCTATTCATTTTTAAAACTCCAAATTTATTTTTTATTATGCAATAGTATGAACTAGCCTGAAAAATTTACATAAAAACCATGTAGCTGATTTTTTACTGGGAAACTGATGAAAATATAAATGAAAAATTACTACAGATACAAAACCATGTTTCTTCCAGCAAACTGATACCTTAAGGGACTCATTTCTTTCGGTACTTTACACAACCCGGGTTTCTATCCTCTGGAAACTTACCATCTTGGACAATTTCCCACGTAAACCATGAAACAGAAAATGAAGTACACTGCAGAATAAACAAATGATTTTTTTTGGCTTTAATGATACAGCCTTTGAGTCAAGCCGCAGGTCTTTAAGATTTATTTTATTCTGTTCCTAAAATATTTGATGATTCAATTCTCCGTACTTAAAGCATAAATAGGAGTCCCCTTTAAAATGTGCCTGCTGAATACTAATTTCTAGCTAATTAGCAAAATAATTCACCTCTTGCTTATCTTGAGAAAGTAGGTAGATGCTTCCACCATAATTTCACCTTTCCAAGTATGGAAAAGATAATGCTGGGAAATAGTTGGCCCGCAGGCCTGAAGAGGACACAGCAGGTAAGGCAGGACAGGTGACCAGAGATTGGGCCTCCTCTGCCTCCTCTCCAGAGTTCTCCTTCTAGCTTTGTGACTCTAGTAAGCAAGGACACTCATAGAGATGTATTAATGACTGGAGGCCACTAGAATACATACAGGGCTTTGAAGCAATAATCTGCTAAACACCACTTTAAGAGCCAGAAGAGTTAAGGCATTACCATAAATTGCCTACAAAGTTGCTTTAGTGAGACTGGAAACTTTGCTCTGGGGTGGTCTTGCTTTGAGGCAGAAGGATAGATTTGATCACCCCATGGGGTCCTTTTTAATACCTATTTTTTCTCACTGCTTAAATGAAAGAGAAAAGAAAAGCCATTTCAATCGCTTTGAAAATTGAATGTTATGGAAATGGGGGCACCAAGTCCAGGGCACTGAAGAAACAGATCCTTGGTAGCAATCTGCCAAGCAACAGTTAAAAGAACAAGCTTTGGAAAGTTGGTGTTGCAATCTGTTTTTAAAATAATTTTCATTCTTTTGTAAAAATGATGTTTAAGAATTTATCTTTGAGATGGGCTATAATCATTTGTTTCAACCCTGTGACTCTGTTTCTAAAAACTCCTTCGGTTAATTTTTCTGTATTATTATAAAGCAATTACAATCAAAAAGCAAGAATTCTAAATACTGTCTTAAAAAATGATTTCCTAGTAGCCAGCACAATCAAAATAAAAGTGAAAAAGTATACAAGAAACATTTTCTTTAAAAAAAGAACGTGAGGGTAAAACTTGAACAATTACAAAGTTAGAAAGTGTCTCTGTATTACTCATTTAAAAAATATTTAGAAAAGCTCTTCTTTACCATCTTGTTGGCCCAGATATGCATCTTATCACAGATAAGCTATTAGAATTCTAGAATCACATTTTTCCCCCCCAAACACAAGCCATTGCTTAAGGGAAACTGACTTGGACAGCTTTTCAAAAATATGAAAGCTGAATTTTTCCCCAGGTAAAAATGGAAACAAAAATCTTTTATACCTCATTCTACTAAGTACTATTTTAGCTTAGTACAAAAAAAATCTTCTTTAATCCTGGTTTAGCTTTTAATATTATATCACACATTAAAATTCATAAAGTAGTTCATTCCAGGCAAAACAAACTACTGTTCAGCTCTTCTCCGCAAATAGCACAGGAGGTAAAATAAATGCAGTTGCTTTCAGAATAGCTTTTATCAAGGTAGGGTGTACTACTCCATTATTAAGGCGGCGCCGGGGAAGTAGTTAAGAATTGGAGCTTCTACTATTTACCCTCCCATGTGGGGAAAGGGTGCAGTACTAGGGTCTTTTTATTTCACTAAAATTGTGTAGCAGAACACACATTTTTCCATGAAAACTCTATTTTGCTTCTTCATGGATTGCTAAGTACATCAAATCATACTTTTAGGTTACACAAAATGAACTCTACTTTGGCCTTGACAGGTGAATGCACTACTCTGATGCATGAGGAACTGCCTGCAAGCACACTGCTTTTATACCAACAAAATTAAAGTGCTACGTAGTTTTAATAACTGCGATAATAAACACAGACACTTATTAGTTATTTATTACATGCTGGACATTGTATTAATGTCCATTAACTTCTTAACATGCATAAGAGCCCCAAGGAGAAATTATGATCGCCTCATTTTAAAATTGAGAAAACTGTTAAACAATTTGTTGGTGGGGCAATGCTGAGATCTAAACTCAACTAGAAACCACAGTTATTTAGAGTTCATGACATCACATGGGCCTTCTTTACCTGAAAAAAGCCTTAATTTTTAAAACAGGCTGGACTTGTTTTGTGGTGGCCCTTGGATAAATCTAGTTCATTAATGTCTAATTTTTAATAGCTATTGACTTTTAATATTAAAATCTAATTAGAATTTACTTTTCAGGATATAAAAATTATAAATGTTTTTAATGAAAATAAAAAATGTCCTATTCTATGGATGCTTATTGATGACGGAAAATATTTCCCACTCTCAAACTTTAATATATTAACACTGTCTTTAGCACCATGGTTTAATATTTTTAGATATTTCTTTCTTTCCAGGAACAGTATTAAATATTTTCCAAATCTAGACTTTAATGAAAGTCTTCCAGCTTTTAAAAGATGACAATTAATGGGAAGCAGTTTATAAGCACATAAGCAACATCTTAAAAAGATCTTCAAGGGATTCATAATAAATAAACTTTTTACTAAGTGTTAAGTTCCTGCTTATAACTGAACCTGAAATCAAGATGAATCTACATTCCATTATATCGCAGAGGGATTTGTTGTAAAGAGACAGAACAGTGCAACTACCAGATTAATGACATACTCTTTATATTAACTTCATAAATTTTCTAAAGTATTATAAAATATGACACCTTTAGTAGAAACTAAAGAATTAGATAAAAAGATGTAAAAAAATGAAGAAAAAAAGGACTTGTGTAATGGTGTAAAAGCTATAACTAATAATTATATGCTTTCAAACAGTCTTCATGGAAATAAACTGCTAAATTAATTTAACTCCAAAAGTCACACATAGTAAAATGCACAAATAATAAAAAACACACACACATACCCCTAAGGTAGAAATCAACACTTAAAATTCTGTAAAATATATAATTCTCAGAAAATAATCATGAATTATTATTATTGACAAAATTCCTTCAATAAACTCAACAGGAAAACTTTCAAAGCTTATAGTGAAAAGAAACCTTAAGACCAAGGAGCTTGGGAGGCCTGGGTTCTCCCAGGTATTTTTCATTAGACCAAAGTTTAAAAGGGGCTGTTTTCCCCACAATCCCAGAAATTCCACTGTCCAGTCTTCCATAGTAGATCATTTGTCAAACAAGTGATTTCATGAGGACAATGCTCTAGCACAGGCTCCTCTTCCCATTCTAACAATAAAACCTTCACTCCTCTATGACAAACTTTATCTCCAAGTTTCACTTTTCCCTTCCTAAAATAAGTTTGCTTATATTCTGAGGATGTGGCTTGAAGTATCGGAAGGAGCAAGAAGCTTAGCACAGGATTGGAAAACTCTGACTAAACCTTAAACTTGGTTTTCTCATTTTTCTCCTAGGGAAAGGTTGGTTGAAGATTCAATGAATTAATGCATTCAGCTGCTTTCAGAATAGCTTTTATCAAGTCAGGGTGTGAATCATTGTCAGGTGCAAAATATTCTTATTTGTTGAATTAGAGCATTAAGTTGTGAAAACATGCATGCAGCAACCAGGTCTGGCTCAGAGCCTACAGCCCCAGGCAGAGGACCAAGCACCGGGCATAACTGCCTTTACTGGAGCGCAAGGGACACCTCTGTGTAGGAGGCATCTCACCTGGACTGGGCCAGCAAGGAGCTTTCGTGTTTCCTGAGGCTAGGTGTCCCCAAGTGGGACCTGACTAGCTAGAGAAGTTCTTTCTTGAAGATGACTTATAATCGAGGTCCTTGTTATGGTATGCCCGAGGGGCACTCCAAAATCATCTTCTGTTATGTTTTACACTCTATAAAGAGCTGGAAGAGAATCCAGTTTCCTAGGCCTTAGGGGGACTGGGTCTTCTGTGAACCACTGAAGGCCTCTGCTTTTAACATGTGGTTCTTTAGAAAGAAATCAGGTTTCAGGTGCAACCCAAGCCCAAGACTTGTCTCAAAATAGGTTTCAAATCTCTGCATTTTGGGAGAAATGAAATGTATACAGATTTCACATGGACTCCTCTTTGGCAAAATATTAACATTTAAAGAAAAAAAATTTTGCAGTCTGTGTGTTCTGTGGTTTTCCTCCAGTTTTCCTTCATTTTAACTCATTTTTAATATGCATACTGGTTCCAGTTTAAGCATTGTTTCATTATTTCAACTGTTTAAGCCTTATTTCATTATTTCAACTGCTACAAGACAGTATTAATTCAACTGCTCTGTAACATGTTTTTCCAAATCTAAAGTATTCATTTTGCATTGACAATACCTTCAGTTCGTTAAGAATTTCTTAAAATTTAATTCATTGATTCATGGTTAAAGGAAAGAATGTGAACAAACTGGTAGTGATCTCTGTTATAATATTAATAATTTAAAGATTTATATTATAGCGGCAAAATAAAATTACACACACACTTATCAGTTAATCATTTTGGAGTTTGGTTAGATGGCCAGTAATACTGCATTAATAGAAACATTTTCTTTCAAAGAGTTTCACTAAGAATCTATGGAATGTATATACTGTATATCTTCATCACTGGCTGAATACCCTGGCTATGGGCTTGGTCTCAACTCCTCTTCAGAACAAATACAGCTACGGGTGGCTCAACCAGCTAATAATTTGGGCAAAAACAAAACATATTTTCCAGCCCAGCTTATCAGCAGATAAAGCCCTTACGCAGATACATAGGAAAGTTATCCAATAGTATCTTAACAGCATATGAAAAGAAATATCACTTAGTAAGAACTGGTATAACTTCAGCTCAATAAAAAACTTGATGAGTAAGAATACCAAAATCACATTTGGAAAATAAAACCATTAGAGTCTTTAAAAAATTAGAAAACAAAAGCTCTATTAAGGAACCATAAAGTCGTATATCTGGCTAATTTTTTTTTTTAAATCAGCTCAATGTTGAATGAAGTTCATACTGGTCTTAAGTAAGCCATTCTTTCATTGGTATAGCAGATTAAGTGGTAAGTAAAGTAATTCTCTGCCCAGAGTTCTGTCTGTGATGACTTCCAGAGCAAAGTTAACTGATACAAGTGTGTGTATTAACACCACACATGGCAGAAAAAGTACTAAACTAAATGACTTTATTTCATTTTGTACATTTTTTCTCTTTAATCATTCCTAGAAGTCATAGTTTATCTTTTCTCTTTAACCATTCTTAGAAGTCATATTTTTTATACATAAAGAATTCCTCATTCTTTATCTTAGGGAATATTTTAGAGAAGGCTTTACAGATCAATTCCATAACTGTGTGTGTGGGGGCAGGTGGGTGTGTACATATATATACAGATGCCATGCTTTTCTCCTAAAGAAGCAGGACTTTTTTTATACACAATTATAGCAATGCTTTCCTTATAGTCTGTTCCTATAGACATCAAGACCAGATTGATTTCCATTAAATAAAATAGCAAAAATGGGTTTTCACGACATTTCTAAAAATAATTGTTTCAGAACCTTATGATAAGCAGTTTAAAGTGGCTAAATATTCTATTTATTTCTTATTTATGGAGTATCTGTAGCACTTTCATTCTTTAGTGTTGGATGGGCTTTTTCTAAATTTCTATACATGAAAATGTATGATTAATTTCTACTTTGAAAATAAAGTAACATCGAGATACAATTTCACTGTGACATTGTCATACAAATATTTAGACTTTTTCTTCCATGTTCAATTTTTATCCAATTTTAGCTGACCTTATTTTTAAGAGCTGTAAATGTCACAAGCTAAACATATAAGAAAATACATTTGCTTGTGGTTTTGAGTCTAATACACTAACTAGGAAACTTTTATCTAATGGTTTGTAATGCAAATTGACTTACTGAATTTTCACAGTTATGAGGTTACTTCTTAAACTTAGTTTAAAAAACAATACAGTCATATACCCAAAGTTACCTGGAAGGCGACTTTCTCTCCTAAAAAGTACAAAAACTTAAAGAAAAAGAAAGTGTGCCCATATCTTGCAATATGGATAGAATTCCTTATCAGCCCCATTTAAAGTTGCCTTCAAGGATTTTATTAAACTTAATTATGAAAGATTACAAACGAGATGGTGTGTAATTGGTACCAGCTGCAGTTCATATTGGAAAGTATAAATACAAATGAAATTACTTATTTTTATTTATTTACTATTCAAATAGCGATTCTAAAACTAGTTGGGGAAAAAAACAACTTTATTCTTTTTCTACTGAGTTTAAAATACTTCTTTACTTAATAACAATAGTAGAGACAAATATCCCATTTAAAGACTACTTTCACCACCAAATAACCCAAAGAAAGAAGGAGCACAAAGCAATTTTCTTCTCTCTAATTAGTAGCTTATTGTTTTTATATCAGAATTAATGATTTGGGACCAAATTCTCCTCAAGCAACTCTATGAATTTAAAAACATCTAAATCTATGTATCTATCTATCTAATTTTTTACTGAGATTCTTCCTCAAGTGTTAAAAAAGAAAAAGAAAAGAAAAACAAATAAAGGCAAAGAGGAAAAGGAGACTGCACCTGGGGAGGGCGGCTGGGCGGTGTGCTTATCAGTGGGGCAGGACCCATGGCCGAGGCAGCATTCAAGCTCCTTTCCCTTTCGTCCTGGTATATTCGGTCTCTTTCAGCTTCTGGTAACTGCAGGAAATTCTGCATAGCCCGAAGGTTTACCAGCAAAGACTGGGATGCAGTCTTGGGATCCTCTTCCTTTCGGAGGATTTCTGAAAGCAAGCCCTGCAGGAAATGAAAGGCACAGGGTGAGCCTGCTCCCCTGCTTTGCCCAGCCAGCGGTGATCCTTCCCTTTTCTTCTCCACTCTGTTTAGAAAATGAACAGTCAGAGGCATTAATTCTGCATAGGAATATATTAGTTACAATTGAAGTGGTAGAGAAGAGAGCCTCAATTGTATTCTTAATTTTATTAAGCATCTGCTTTACATATAACATAAACTGAAACTGCCTAATTGGTCTCCTTCCTTTGAGTAGCTTAACTTGCCATGAAATCTTTCACAGAGAGACGATCCAGGGAAGTTAAGAATAAATGAAATCCTCATAATGCAACAGCATTGAACTGTATAGTTCTCAAGCTGCCTAGACAAAGGCAGTGGAATGCCTACAGCCCAATATGTAAAGATACAGCGCCATTTCTAGAGAAGTAGAACTTTCAAAGAAAATACCAAAAAATGAATTTTAACATATTAGAACAAAGATTATTACTAAAGCATCACCTAAGGTTTATGTTGTATTTTCACAGGCAATGTTTAAAATTATTCCTTAAACTTCAACTTATCAAAGTACATGACATCACATGACCCTTTCAATTTACCAATTACAGAGAACCTCACTGACTATCACAAATGATTTTAAATACTATCTTGCTGTATTATACCATTCGGTAACAGGTTTAAATTTTGAACTTTAAAAACCATAGATAAGATCTGAAATACATTAACTAGTTTTCAACATTGCAAAAATCCATCATAGCATGCCAAGGAAAAGAATATCAAATTCTGTAATTATCAAATTTCTTAGGGAATAAAAATTGTTATTAGTGATAGAAGAAATTTATAAACCATTAGAAAACTCTTAAGGTGACTTCCCCCACCCCCATAGCAGAATATCAATTTTCAACTATTAACTTTGGAAGAACTCTTTCAAAAATAGGTGGTTTTCCCCATTGTGTTTAAGACATAATATGAAACACAAGTATGGGAAAAATTTCTATTTTATAAGGGTTAAGCAGCCCTTCTCTTTTTAATCTTGTACATGAAATAATGCTTAGAATAGCAAGAGATATTTCATTTCTTCACTTAGCCAGAATATCAGCTTCAGAATAAAAGTTTGCCAAGATTTCTATATAAATTACAAATCTACTTTCCAGTATCCTGCAGAAATGGTTAAAGGTATATTGGGGAAAGGAAGGTAAGTTGTCATGTTCAACAATGGAGCCCCAAGGTTAAAACATTTCTGTTCTTTACATGGTTTGTTAGAAGTGCAAACCTGGTTTTATTCCCAGATTTAAGGATAATGTACCATAGTGCCTAAGTGTAGCAGTTGGGTGCAGACAATACAAAAATACTGATGCTTTTTAAGTGATTTATAAGCCGGTATTTTAAAAAGCTTTTAATAGGTGCAGAGGGCTTAAGAGTCCATTTTAAAGCTGTCTCTCACTTAGTCTCTTACAGCTAAAGCCTAGGAATTGGACCTGAACTTTCGGTTTTACCCTAAGAAATGTGACTGAAATATGAAGGGCACATGTCCTTTTACTTAGGATACTAAGGAGTAATGCTGCAACTGTGTCTACACAAGAGCAAAACATCGAGTCAATTTAACTAAAATTCAGTCAGGCAGTCAATCATTCAGCTATTTAATTTGCACAAGGCCAACTAATTAGATTGACTGTTTCTGACGTGTCATACTGAAAGTAAAACATTCAGGTCTCAAAGAAAAAGTTTGAAAATGGGTGTAAAAATTAACCTTTGCTCTTTACTCCTCCTCTCCACCAAATGTTATGTCTTAAAAAATGTGTTTGACAAAGCAATATATTATCAACCACACAAAAATGGATACATGCAAACATCAGTATAAACACAGTATGCTACAAATTCCTTGAGTATAATACTCTAATATTCACTTTCATCATCCCAGCACAATGTCTATCACATAAATGTTTGATAAATATTTACTAAATGGATTGATCATGTGTATGCAGACCACAATGGAAAAAAAATAGTCACAAATAGGTGATAGAAACTTAAGAACAAGATGTGCTATCCATGAGTGAATTCTAGTGGTAGTTACTAGCAATCATTTGGGCCTTCAGTGAAAAGTTCTGTGGCATTTTCTTTATCCTAACTGTCTAATAATTAAAAAAATTAGATTAGGGCATAAGATAGTTATAAATATTAGGATGTTATTTGGGAAACTTGAATTAGATATTTAAAAATCCCAAATAACAAAGTAATATATCACATATTTCTATCAAAAATGTTTCCTGAGGCAGCAGAGATCTATAGTGAGAAAATCAAATACAGAAAAACATACAAAATAATATCCTTTCTCAAGTCTTGCTAACGTAAGACTAAGTCATTTCCGTATGGCTTAGACTGGAAGATAGCATGTTACTTGGGAGAAAATTTTAAACGTTCTCTATCTATATTTTGATGTTGGTGTGACTTCCTATATGAGCTTACAAGCGTTTTTAGGGGCAAAGCATTTTACTTCCACTTACATTAATGATTCTACTGGAACAAAGTTTTTTGTTTGCCGGAAATATGTGGATGGTGTAAAGCAATGTTGCAAACCCTCAAACACTCAAGAGCCAATGTAGTGCTTGGCTTAAAGAAGCCAGTGTAGACAGTCTCAGGTGTTTTAGAAACCTTCTGGATTTTTTTTTTTTTTTTTTTTTTTTTTTTGGCCCAGAGCTTTCAATGAGGGGAGTGCCCCCTGGTGGAAATGCTTGAAAATATTGTCAGAAAACATTATTATTAGTTATAATTACTAAAAAAAATAATAATAAGTTGCATTAGAATCATTTTGGATGCAAAATGACTGTTATCAGATCCTAGATATGGGAATGCATGTTTTGGTCCTGTTCAGGTTGTTGTTACTTGAATAGCGGCATTCTTATTTATATGCTGAATTCAAGATACATGTGGTCACCATCTCTGATTTCCTACAGTTGAAGATATAGTATATAGACTTGCCAAGGTCATTTGTAGTAATGCCTCACACAGTGGACAATAAGAGTGACCTTTTACCAAAAATGCTTCATGCTAAAAAATAGTATGCCAAGGCCATCATGTACCTTATTTATGTCATAGACTATGTGAAACATCAGGACAAAAATATGTCGTCAGTGTCATGAATCAATGGTGCTCAACAAATTTAAATAAAATCATTAGTCATTCTTGTGTCTGAAAAGAACCTGAGAACTTGTATGTTACGTAGGAAGTAGGAAGTTACCAGTACCTCATGAATATTAATTTTATTGAAAACAAGAAGCTGCCTTTCATTGGGACTTGACATCTTACCAATAATTAGATGTGTGCTATATATATGAAAATATAAAATTATTTTGCATTGTCATTACATAGTGGTTAAGTGAGAGTTCTATTTTTTTTTCAACTGAAGAATAAATTTACTGCTGAATTCCTAAACCTGTTTTTACATTCCAAAAACAGTTATTGTAAGTAAAAGTCATTAGTAATTGTAAAAGAAAGAAAAAAGCCTCCAATAAATATGATCAGTATTTCCAAAAGCTAATTATGAATTATTTAAAACAGCAGATAAGTGAAAGAGACTGCCAATCTGAACAAAAAGCCTGTCTGGCCTCCCGTTTGTCTCCTCTTTGAACATAATCACTGATTCAAATAGATTTTATCAGCTTCATGGAACTTCAAAGCCCTCAAAAAGAAAATATGATTTGATGTAACCTCCCTCTTAAAAAGAAAATACATAGAATATTCTTCAAGGCTACCTGCCTCTGTTGTTTGGTGAATTTTTAATCACATGTCCAGGTGAAAGGCAATTTTCAAACTCCACCTACTACCTTGGACTCATGCCAAGTAAGTTGTAAGTAGACACATTTATCTCTTGTCGTTTGGCAGGCAAACCAGAGAGCTGTCACGTTGGGGTAATAGCACCTTTTTACCTTTTATTCAATAGTGATATGGATAGTGAACTTTTTAAAAATTATACTGTGAAGAATTATAGAAACAGAGTAGCAATTTCTGTTATACTTAAGCAGGCAAATTTCTCTCCACCACATAATTTACAGAACTCAAATTCAATAAAACATTACATGATGGTCCATTACTGTTATCAGTTTTGAATAATCCATCTTCATTCTTTATTTTACTGGAAATTAAAGTATACCAAAGACAGGGGAGGGGGAAGAAAAAGGGAGTAAAAGCCACAGAGTAGGATCAGAGTTAAACTCTAGGTTTTATTCTTTTAAAAATTAAAGGGTATTAAAGAATGTATTTGCATGTAACAGAACCTTTAAATAGAAATAAGATAGAAAAGTGAATTGAAAAGCATAAATCTAGAGGCTTTGGCAACTACTTTTAGCCATAGGTTTCCATTAAAAAGACATCAAGTAGATATAGCTGAATGAATGACATATGCTAAAAGCTGCTACCTTCAATAGCAATTAAAGAACATATGCCCATCAATTCAGAAGGGGAAAAATTCCTTAAAACAAGTAATTATACAAATTCACCATTAATTTCCAGAAAAGGTAGACTTTAATAAAATAGTCATATGTGAAACTCATAAGAGAGGGTCATGTGTTAATGTAGAGGACCCTATTAAGATGATGAGAAAATTCTCAAGAGTTAAAACATAAGACCCAGGATTTTAAAGTTATACAGAGCTGTCAATGACTAAAATAATTCTCAATTCGTAACAGTGTTATCTATCCTATTAATGTTTTAATACTGTCTATAAGAAACAATGTCTTTATCTGACCTTATCATGTAACTTTGTATTTGTATGTATATATTTAACCTTTTTTTTTTAAACTTAGAGTTGAAATTGCACATTGTACTAGGTGCACACAAATGTGTGATGCGTGATTGAACTCTGCAGAGCTCCTTGCCTATACATATGCATTAGCATGTGTATTTTCGTACTCCACACTCACACCATATCCTCACTCTGCACCTGCTTTTATTGAAATGCATACACTTTGAAATAAACACACTACATGCAGTCGTTCGAATGCATAATCATTAAAAAATAAATGCAGCTGTGTATGTATGTGTGTGGTTTTTAAGAATGACCAATGAAAATACATTCATGCCTGCATGTGCAAAAGCTAGTTCTCAAGGAATTAATATTTAAATATATGTATAAATTTCCTCTTAAGTCAAACAGCTTTAAATATGGCCCTACATCTACTTCGACTGAAAAGTACCAATTATGAATATAAAGCTTTAAAACCCTTTCATAATCCAGGGCACCAAATAATTTTTTGGTAACTTTTTTCTAAATTGGCTATTACTGATAAAGAGGTACCTATAATCAAGCTGTACAAGGTTTTCATTCTCCTCTCACCCTCAGAAAATAAAGTCACTGTTTTTGATATTAATCACAGAGATGATTACTTTTTCAAAGAGATTAATATGGTACAAAAGAGAAAATTTTGCCTTTCTTCTGGTAACAAATCCTGTAGCTACTGTGGAATTTGTCCTTTTAAGGACCAAAACCAGAACAAATGGCCAACTCCTCATAATGATGTTACAGTTACTGGCTGTAACATCATAACCCAAGAGAAGAAAAGCTGTAACCATGGGTGGCAACTTTATCCTCATTTCTCTGAATTCTACCCTCTTAGCATTCTTCACTATATAAAGGACACTTACTTAGTGCTTTAAGAAGTAACAGCTCAATTTTTAAAACACTTACCAGTAACTGTATATATACATATCATTTGTGTCTATGCCATGATGTCTTTGTGGGCTTTTAACTCAATTCAAAAAGCATTATTGAACTGTTATGTAGAGATTTTTTTTTTTGCCTAGGAGGGGGAATTATTAGTAGTTACTATATTTACTAAAATAAAGAATGCTACCAGAAACAGGAATACCTATAGGGTTGACTTTTGAGTCATTCGTTTTCAATAATTATCCCCCAACTGAATATAGGTGTCATATTACATTTACCAGCTGATAATGAACACTTTTTTTAAGCTATAAAGATATAGAACTAGGTGAAACCATAGAATTTTAACTTGAGACATAGCCTTGTGCAACTTGCCCTTTTAAAAGCAGGCAAACGTACAAAAAAACAGATGAATCAACTGAAAACAAACACTGAATTAAAGGCTTTGTCAGGTCTCCTGCTCCCAATCTAGTTAAGGGAAGCCAAAAATAAGTCACAGCTGGGATTCTCCTAGGTATGGAAACTCTGCCAACTAGGAATTAATACTAGATTATTTCTGTACCAGAATTTTATTCTTTTAATCATGTAATAAACAAAATAACTTTAATATGAGAGGAAAATGTGAGTCAGGACCAAAAACAAGATAAATTGACGAAAGAACAGTGGTAAAACAAAAAAGTTGAAAAGACATAATGTCCTCATTCTAATCCAAGTTATGGTTTTTTTATTTGTTTTTGGTGGACCCGAGCCAAAATTAAATACCATATATATCATGTATCACACTAGTTTCCAAACAAAGAAAAAAAATCTCATTTACAGTTCAACAGAGTCAATTTGTTTAGGGCTTCTCAAATACCTTTATCTTATGACCTCTCATATATATCACTTTTTATCCATGACTCAACATCTTCCATGCTGATAGATAATATCGTCACAGGAATTGTCCCAGGAGGACGAAGGTGTACACATGAGGTGTATAACCAGATAGTAAAATCTCTAAAAATGGGTCTGCAAACTAAGGCCTGCCAGCCACACTTACTCCATGGCCTGTTTTGTAAACAGTTTTACTGAAATACTACCATATCCATTGCCATAGACCATACATTCATTTATTGTCTATGGCTGCTTTATTACCAGTGCAGCAGAGATTATATGTGCTTCAAAACTTAAAATATTTACTATCTGGTCAATAACAGAATAAAGTTTGCTGATGCCTGGTCTAGAGAATGATGTTTGGAAGACAATATTACGAGAGAGAGCACAAAGCTTAGAAGCATTTTATATTAATGAGTCATGTAATCTTTTTCCAAAACGGCTGCTTAGAATTAACTGGATTATTGCTCCCAAGGTATTAAAAGAAACAACAACGATGTATAACAAACATTTATATACTTAAGTTTGAACATTTATAAACTTAAGGGAAATTTATAAATGAACATTTATATACTTAAGGGAACATTTATATACTTAAGTTTGATATCAGTAGAACATGAGCCTTAACCAAGTCATGAAACTCTTCTTACCCATCTACTACAAACACTTTATGATTCCATTACATAAAAGCATAGCTAACACCAGTTTAAAATATATTTGACATTTAATTAGTCTCTCAAAGCCCCTGAATTGGGAACAATCTGCACATAGGTTTCCCTTGTTTCAGAAATATATCACAGGAAAAGGAGTGATAAAATTGAGGCACTACCAGGAATATGTAATATGATCACATCGAGAGAGAGAAAATGTTAGTAGAGTAAAACGATAAACTTTAGTTACAGATGGAACTAAAGAAAGAAAAGAGGAGACAGCACAGAACCATTTATGAAACACAACTGACCTGAGTTCTGTTAAAAGCCACACGTGCAAATACTGCCTGGGAGATTCCTGCTCGTTTCAGTTCATCGCGTACCCACTGGTAGATTTCGGAAGACACCTCTGTGTTGGTCGAAACCTGTTGCTCCAAAGGCTTATTCATAGATCTACTGACAGGGGGAGGGTGGTTCAAGTATTGTTGGTTTAAGGACTGCTGGGCTAAAAGTCTATTCACTGCATACTGCTGGTTCAGCAGCTGAGCCATCACCAGCTGCTGGTTGACCAATTGAGGACTGATAGGCGTTGATACGAGCCCAGGGTGCAGGTTTGGAAGAGGGGTCCGGACAGAGGGCTGACTGCCATGGGATAGCTGTGCAGGGGATGGAGGCTGCTCGGCTGTGTTCCCTGGAACCGGTTGCTGGCCAAAATTGACATGATTGGCGCCTTGCTGGGATAGCTCAGAAAGACTATCCATTTCAACTAAAGTGGACAAAAAGTAAAATCACATTCAGCCAACAATGATTGGCATTGATAAAGATTTCTAATCACTTCCTAAATTTAAAAAGGGGTAGGCTCAGGGCGTAAGTTGCAACTTACCAGGCTGTGTTTTTGCTCTCCTTTTCTGAAAAATTCTATAAACTTTGGAAGTGGGACAGCACTTCTAATCTCATTTTTAAAATGTGGTTTAGATTTAAGGCATAAAATCAATTATACCAAATTCTTTCCAACTAGTTGTTCACTCTCACTTATTACCCCAAGAAGGCTTATAAGCAACAATGTTTTAAAATGGCTTCTAAAAGAATGTCATTTGCTTAATGACAACTATAAACAGTGAGCTGAGCTAAGAAAATAAGCTTATAATAAGCAACTAAAAAATGTACAAATATATTCTCATGATATTCATTACCTTTAGTACTCTAGGAAAAAGGTGTAAAAGAAAAAGTATGACATAAAATGTTACCTACTTTCAATTTTTACCTAGCAGTGAATAAAAGTAGTCAATGTAATAAATAAAAATGGGTACAATAATAATAAAGGAATGTATATGGAACACTGTGCTGAATATCTTACATGCCTTGTTTCACTGTTTCATTTTAATTCTAACCATGATGGGCGGTAGGTATATCTGGAAATACTTTTTAGAATAAAGCAAGTGATGTATTGTGTATCAAGCCAGCATAATACCCAGTGTTGCTAAGATCCAAATGTTTTTTCTTCAGGAAGCTATGACCATCACCAGATGCAAAAGACAATCTTGCAGGGAATTGTTCTGGTACAATGGTGATGCTGTCATGATTTTGCAATTTATTCCCGCCTACCCAGGATGAATGCTTCTCCCTTGGCTAGGTCCCTCAAAAGGACTGGCTGAGTGTGTAAATGCTTTGCTGTACGAGAAGGAGACTGGTTTGATGTTCTTGACTGGAAAGGCTGAGCATGAAGCTGTACATAAATAAGACTTTCCAAACTGTATACTGACTTCCCACATATAGACTCTAGTTTGATTTTAATCATCAATTCTCTTTTCATTAAATATGCAGGTTTTATATTTAGATGAACTTTATCACAGTGCTATAGTTCCTGATACATGAAAAATATAACTAAGAATTGGGGAAGAAACCTTCAATTTCTACCAGTGCTATCAGCCCAAGTGGGCCATTCACAGAGAATAGTAATTCAAGCAATTATTCCAAAAATGATGCATTGTCTTCATTACAGCCCTAAGCTATAAAAGGCAAAGAATCCATTTTGGTAGATGGATGGTTTCTCTTCAAATATTAAGAGCTAAAACATGCTCAACATTTGCGTTTTCTTATTTCTTAAAAATTTTTTAGAAAAAAATTAAATGAATGTAAAGGAATAAACAGAAATAGATTTAAAACAGGACATAATGCCCATTCCTATATTCCCTTAAAACATATTTTTGGAGGGTACAAGTATGTGAAGGAGAATATTAATAAAATTAAAACATTAACCTTAATCACAGTGTTTGCTTTTGAGAATATTAACAGACTCAACAGGGAGAAAATGCCATTATCTAAATGCTTAGGTACCATACACAACTTTTATCTGTCATTTTACACTGCAGATTTTAGTGTACTTCTTGCATAACAAATATTCACCTAAAGTTATGTGTTAAGACAGGATGCGATCCTGGAATTAAAAGTTTAGAAATGAAACAATGACTGCTCTGGTATGGATGGTAAAGCGGTATGCTTATCAAAGTGCCCATCCATGGGAGCTGGGGGTTACAGGGATAAAATTCACTTGATCTCTATTGTGGAAACTACAAATATAGTTTAATTCAAGAAGTTTAATTTCCTTAAAAATTGGTTATGAAAATAGGCACTTTCTCAGACAAAAACAAAAAACCTAAAAGCAGGACTTATCACTGAGAGAAATCACAGCTAATATTAGTTATTCAAGGCCTGGTTAGGTCTTCACTGAGATGTTAAAAAATGACAGCTTCCCTCCTCACGCCTCCATTTCCTGCATGTCTGACAACCAAGTCAGTTTGGCTGATTTAAACACAAACATTTATTGAATTTAATTATCTCATTATACTCATACCCACTTCCCACCCCCAAAGAAACATTCTAAATTGATCTCTAATTGGGCAATCAAAAGACCTGGCTTTAGATGTGACTTTGATAAACCCCCAAATGACATGTAATGGTATGTAGCCACCGCTGCAATGTTTTTTTGCTTACCCATCATATCTTTTGTCTTCTTGAAATGTTTGTACCACCTTCCAAATTCTTGACATTTTGCTGCTGAGACATTTGCATAGTAAGTGCTGTTCACAATGGAAGAAATCATACTCTGCATGAAGAAGGGGGGAGAACATTTGTAATACACAGAGGCACAAGATGGAACACAGAAATGATCTCAATTGTATTTTTTTTAATCAACTGAGTACCAATACATTTTTGTTTCACACTTTAGCCTAAAGCTTTGACTTCTTGAAATTCATTAAGTAGATCATCAAATGCTTATTTAAGTAGAGAGTAACAGCCCACTGAGACCAGCATAAAGCTATCAAACCCACGGACTTTGCTCTAGCATTTATTGAATCTCCATCAATGTTATCTATTCCTAGGCTGTCAAACTTTCACTGGGCCCAATAAATCTAAATACAAGAAGATGACTTTATAATTGTGATTCATAAATATACGTGACTTTGCAATTTTTTTGACTGGACACTACCTCCTTTCTCCTCAAAATGTAGACCAGAAACCAGCAATATGGGCATCACTTGGAAGCTTGTTAGAAATGCAGAATCCTGGGCCCTGCCCCAGACCAGGACACTCAGCACCCGAATTTTACCAAGGTCCCCAGGGATTAAAATTTGAGAAACAGCACTTGCACTTTCCACTCTGTTATTTTAAAGTGGAGGTGCATTAACACTGTTCGAAGGTTAACTGACCATATTTGAAAAGAAACAAACTAGTCACAGAGATCCTTTATCAAGAGAAAGACATTCTGCAATCTTATTACTGGCTTCATCAATAGTAAATCTTAAGTTTTGAATTTCAAACCGACCATAAAAATTTTTAATTTATACATTTCACGCTACTAAATTTCTCAAGGATACCACAAAAAAGATGACCTATTGTGACTTTTCTTTATCCTGCTTTTAATAAATTTAAATCCTGCTTTTACCTTGAAAACAGGGTCAACCCTTTAACATACAAAAATGAAGACATGATTTTTATTTATTACTGGGAGGTTTTTTTTAAAAATCATTTTCTTTTTTTTTTTTTTTTTTGAGACAGAGTTTCGCTCTTGCTACCCAGGCTGGAGTGCAATGGCGCGGTTTCGGCTCACCGCAACCTCCGCCTCCTGGGTTCAGGCAATTCTCCTGCCTCAGCCTCCTGAGTAGCTGGGATTACAGGCACACACCACCGTGCCCAGCTAATTTTTTGTATTTTTAGTAGAGACGGGGTTTCACCATGTTGACCAGGATGGTCTCGATCTCTCGACCTCGTGATCCACCCGCCTCGGCCTCCCAAAGTGCTGGGATTACAGGCTTGAGCCACCGCACCCGGCCAAAAATCATTTTCAACAAGTGTTTTCCTCCCAGAAAATTTTGGTTATGGTAAACTAAATTCGAGGTCCATTTTAACCTGTTACCCATATTCCCTAGCAACAGCTTAAGTTAGCTGTTGCTAGGGAATATGGGTCTTAGGAGTAAGAATTTGTAGCACCAATCCATCCCTCACCCCTGTGTGTAGAAACAGGAGCACTCGCATTCCAGACATCAGTTGGTCTATGGTGAAATAGTTTACAGAAGGCAGCATTGTTCGGGAAGGCAGTGAACAACCAGAAAAGCTGGTTTGGGACAAAAGTATTTATATATAATTATCTTCTTTAAGTTAGCTCTAATGTAAAGCTCTTTTGGTTATTATTCATTCTCCTGACATCCACTATCAGTTTTAATTCTGTAGCATGCACACATTTCCGTAATATGTAAATTTGGGGGATCTCTAAAGAACTTCCAGTGAAGGATAAGCTGGAGTCGCATTATTTATGTAAAACACAGCTATCTTTCCTAAGAGGCACGGTGATATCTTTTTTTTTTTGACACTTTCTACTTTATAGTCATTTTCACATTTTATATCTCTAAAAAGACATTCTTAATGTGTTCATGATGCTCTGCCATTAATCCAATAGCTTGCAATTTCACTAAGAGCCTCCCACAGTCCACAGTGTAAAAAGACACTTAGCAAAGTTGCCAAAACCAGAGCCAGAAGATTACCTGATCTGTCAGCTTCGATCTCACTCACTCTCTTATAATAAGGGATCAATAAAGTCAGACACTAATAAAAACTATTGAGATCACTGATGGATAATGGTGATTCTTCTGCAAATGGATGACAGTTCATCTTTTTCCACTCTGCTCTAATTTTTTTTAAATGATTACTCTTTACCTAGACATTCTGACAGTTCCTCAAATGTTAATATAATAATACATGGAAGTTTTAGATGTGGTTTATGTCTTACTCTTTAGAAGTGTATGGAATATCTAAATTTTGCTGAGGTTTTTGACAAGCATCCAGTATACTTCAGTTTGCCAACAGTTCTATATATGAATATTCTCTTTGCTGCACACCTACCATATCCTGGCTGGTACTAAGGATGCAAAGATGGGCAAGACACAGCCTCTGCCTACAAGAAGTTTACTATCTATTAAGAACACAGATATGTAAATAGATCATCTCAATTTAATGTGATTTGGTGTATCAACAGTGGAAAATGTATACAGGACGAGGGAAGGAGGAAGAATCCATGGTGTGTGTGAAAACAAATCTGAAATAGTTTTATAAAACTAGATGCTAGATGTAGTAGTGCTACATAGTTTATTATTATCCATACATGAAAAATAATATCCATATGTGCATCATCATCAAAGCTTCCCCTACCCTGCTTAACCCTAAAGCGGTAGGCTCTGGGCTTAAGTGCTTTTTCTGTCACATGGTGTATGCTTAGGAAACTCTGATTAGTGTAAATAATAGCCTAAGACAGACATGAAAGGCTAATCCATAACTTATAATGCATGACAAAGCAACTTTTTGGATTCCCTATCTTTCTGTGCGTTAGGGTGACTGGGAACTATTTCCTAATTCAGGTAACTTAAGAGTCACATCTATTTTTATTGGAACAATATGCAATAATCTGTCCAATGAGATTGTTCATATAGCTACCTCAAGAGGGGTGTGTGTGTGTCTGTGTGTGTGTGTGTGTGTGTGTGTGTGTGAGATGCGTCATGCATGTGTTGATCAGGTGGTAAAATCCTTACTAAAAACATAGGCATAGCATTGGAGTAGACCAGCCAGGTGGTTTCAATGGCAGGGAAGAGACTGCAGAATTTTGTGGTACACATGCATTTGAAAATCATATTCAATAGTGTCATCTTAGATCAGGAAAGAAACACCTATTGTTTTGATAACACAAATAAAAGAAAATCATAGTTGGTAATATTTTCCTAGGTGGTGGGGATGTACAGATAGTAGACCAAGTTTCATGTTAGAAAGGCTTGGGATTCTTATGTTACTTAAAAGGAAGTACTGGTTTAAAAAGACTGCGCTAAGCTGTGAGTTCACACAGGTCTGGGGTACCATATAGTTTTCTAGCTCAATGCCTGGTATCTATCAAAATAAACACTAAATGTTCATCTGACAAAACAGAATAGAAATAATAAACATACATTCAAGTAAGGATGTATCACACACAAATAGTTGACCATTCCATCACATTTCCTATGCTAAATGGGAATCTCATGGAGTTGTTCTGAGAATCCATCCATTCAGGCATTTTTAAAATTAATTCGGCATATACTTATTTAATTTCTACTATGTTTCAACCACTGTGCAAGTCAGTAGGAAAATAGTGATGTGAAGAGACATACTATCTACCCCTGGACAGACAATAAATAATAGATGTGTTACAACTGGCAAAGAGCCTGTAACATATTACATATAGACTTAATAGATATTAATTACTATGACAACCCTCTGCTGCCTCCTCATCACTGGGCTTTCCTTATATGATCACATTTCATATCAGGTGACTACAGTTTATCAAAGGAGTATCAGGTAAAATTTTCAAATGCTACACAGTATTTTCAGTGTAATGTAGAATGAAGTATACTGATGAAATTATTAAGTTACAAGTTGGGTCAAGCAATAATAAGGGAAAACACACCAAGGGTAAATATTCCATTTCTTCCATACTCCAATTTGGTGGTGTTTTTTGAAGCTGGCCTGTATCTGGTAGACAGCATCAAGAAGGTATATCACTCCTCTGGCTTAGATGCATGACTCATCCCTCTTCCATCTCTAGCTAACAGTTGCTCATCCTTCAGGATACAGTCTGGGCATCCTTGCTTCCATGAGGCCTTTCCTAAATTCCCTGCACCAGAGCACTCATCCTGCTGTTTATTTTCCACTGGACTGTGGGCCTTAGGACTCATCTCACTACATCCTGGACTCATTACATGGCTGGACACATACTAGGTGATCAATGAAAAGGGTCACTAAAAAAAGTCATTACTGCAAGCCACCAGAAATCCTCTTCCCTCTTTTTCCCCTTAAAGGTCAAAAGTAATGGCAGCTTAACTGTTGTCACACGAATCTTTCAAATCCATCGCTATGGCTATCATGATAGAAATCATAGTTTCAAGAACCTTTGTTCATTAATTTGCAAGAGATCTCTTCCCAGGTTTTTCAAAATACATCCACACAGATGTCTCGGAAGTTGCAGTGCTCGGTGGTTATGTTATTCCAGTTCTCTCTCAGTATCTATTTATATGAGCTATCCAAAGCACTTTGAAAAAGACACAACTTGTATGGCAAGTTTCCTATTCAGTGGCTGGTCTGTATAAAACATCAACGTTCACTGAATAAAATAAACCAACTGAAAAAACTCAGTCGGTTGAAATCCCAAGTTCAAATGCTACACACTATACCAACCAATAAATAGGCCACAGCTTCCAGTGTTGGGAAATACAATTTCAAAGTCAGCAGAAATTGGCCGTGGGTCTCATAACCCCAGTGTGACACAATATTCTCATCCTAGGAGCCAAGTTGTAAGCTTTTCTAAGATCCATAAAGCACATGTCTACTCCCTATGAAGAGCTTCGGTTCTTTCTGAGAGTCTGCTGAAGTTCCGATCTGAAAGAATGCCATCTTCACAGAAACCCCAGTACTCTAGAATGATACCATCTGCCACAGGCTGAGCTTCCTTTTCAGCCAAATACATTATTTATAACCTTTCTAATTGTGAAAAGGTAAGGGTGGAATTTTTCTAAAGCCTAACTTAAA